GGATGTTAATAGTAGAATTCAAGTTGGTTGGTTGAAGTGGAGGAATGCTTCGGGCCTTTTGTGCGATAGAAAAGTACCGCTTAGACTGAAAGGAAAATTTTATAAGACGGTGGTGAGACCTGCAATGCTATATGGCGCTGAATGTTGGCCTTTAAAAGAGAAGCATAATAATAAGTTAAGTGTTGTCGAGATGAGAATGATTAGGTGGATGAGCGGCTTTACACTTAGAGAGAAAATGCGAAATGAATAGATCCGTGATAGGGTTGGTGTAGCTCCTGTGACGGACAAAATTAGAGAAAGTCGTCTTAGATAGTTTGGTTTGGTCACATTAAACGTCGACCATCTGATGATTCGGTTAGAAGAGCAGATGTTTTAGATTCGAGATGTGTTAAAAAAGGCAAAGGTAGACCTTGGAAGACTTGGGCTTATTGTATTAAAAATGATCTTAATTTACTAGAACTAAATGAAAATATGACACTAAATAGGACGCAATGGAGAAAAAGAATTCATGTAGCCGACCCCATGAAGTGGGATTAAGGCTTTGTTGTTGTTGTGGTGGTGAGACCTGCAATGCTCTATGGCGCTGAATGTTGGCCTTTAAAAGAGAATCATAAAACTAAGTTAAGTGTTGCTGATAAAATTGAGTAAAGTTTTGTTGAGATGAATGGCTTCACAGTTAGAGACAACATGCGAAATGAATATATTTGTGATAGAGTTGGTGTAGCTCCAACGGCTGACAAAATTAGGGAGAGTTGTCTTAGATAGTTTGGTCACATTAAACGTCGATCATCTAATGATCTAATTAGGAGAGTAGATGTTTAGATTCCACTTATGTTCAGTAAGGCAGAGGTGGACCTAGAAAGACTTAGACATACTATATAAAAAATAAACTTAAATTATTAGAATTAAATGAAAATATGACACTCAATAGAACTCAATGGAGAAAAAAGGATTCATGTAGCCGACCCATTTAGTGGGATAAGAGTTTGTTATTGTTGTTGTTGTACACTACTCTCACCAGAAATTCAACATAAATCATTGTTATTATGATTACAACCATTACTATTATTTAAAATTTCAATTTGCATCAATTATATATAGCTTTTCAAACTTACGGACTTTCACTTTCAATTGAATTTTTTGATTCATTATATGTAACAATCCAACTAGATTAAAAAGATTCATAAAGAAAGTTATAACAAGGAGCTGAAGTTAACATTACAATGGGAAGCTCCTAAACTAAAAATATCATTTCTTCTTGAATGGATGCGGAAAAAGAAAAAAAAAATACTTACTGAAAGGTAATATAGAAGCGTTGGTGTTGATTCAAGAATGTCAACGTATATTAAAACAAGTATACCTCAACTAAAAAATTAAAAATAATAAGATAAAAACAAGTGAAAAAGTATCATGTATTGGAAAAGGCACCGAAACAAAATGTTTGCTTTTCGTTACATGATACTTCTCAAAAAACTTACAAAAACACAAGCATAATCAAATGCCACAAAAAAAGCCATCGAGGAAATAATTATCAGGATTTCATATCAATTAGTCCTTGACCTTTCACATCCTCATGTAACATTTTCAACAGATGTATTTTCCATTATAGATCAGCTTAACTGACTACGGACAAAATTATATTGATGTAGCTAGTGGTACTAAGAAGTTGAACGAAAACCTATGATCCAGTGCCGAAAAGGAGGGGAAGAGAGGAGAAGAAATATTCATATTCTAGTCAAATGAATGTTTGTCATACTTATCATCCTTTTTATGTAAATGATAATCATTCTAACTAGCGGGGTTTAGCAAAAACCAAGCATAAATAACCAAACAGTGCATTAATCTTGAGTCTATTATGAAAACCTTTTTCATTAATCACTCCAAAAATCGTAGTCATAATGAATATTTCTAAAATCTTCTGTCACTCTACTGACATGTCCATTAGAACTACTTCAATGAAATTTTTTCTTCAAGAAGTATCATTTGCATTAAGTAGTTTATTCCAAAATTTTTCTTTAGAACATATATTTAAACCTGCTTGAGGAACATAAACACTTATAATATTAAAAATCTTAGTATCAATAATAATCTTAAGGGCTATAATTTTATCTACAATTCTATTAATTCTTACAACATTATCTTTCAAACTCTTATTTATAATTACACCTACACCATTTCTAGTGCAACTCTTATCTAAATACTAAAGTTTAAAATCAAAGTTATCAATCTCCTTAGTCTTTTCTCCTACTCATTTAGTTTCTTGAATACATAATATATTTATCTTTCTTTGAATCATAACATCAACTAATTCCATTAATTAATCTGTGAGAGTGTCTATATTCTAAAATCCTATTTTAATATTAGTTTTTTAGACTAGCTTCTTTACTCGCATTTGTCCATAATGTGAGAACTCTTATTTATTTGACACTACACTCGGGCGTCGTTGTAGCTGTTGTTGCACACTTTTCACTATATTCAAGTCCTATTTTAATATTAGTTTTTTAGACTAGCTTCTTTACTCGCATTTGTCCATAATGTGAGAACTTTTATTTATTTGACACTATACTCGGGCGCCGGTGTAGCTGTTGTTGCACACTTTTCACTATATTCAAGTCATACAATGTGTCACTTTTAGTAAACACCCTAGCATTTACACAATGATCAAAATTATTTATGTCATGATTTGTCGATAAATTTTATGATGGTTATCCACTACCTAACTCAACCCTCTACTTTTCACATCAGCAGTTTGGGAACCGACAAAGGCAGTGTTTTATTCCTAAGGTGTTAAGGCCAAGCTACTTAGGGTCTCAGAAAATCATTTTACTTCTAGCTTAAATTGACTAAATTTTAGTCCTAGTGTGGACAAGACTCAAGATTAATGATTTAAAAATTTTAGTCCCAGTTGCATGCCGGTATTTGAGTCTACAGGCTGGCCATTGATGGGTGAATTAGAAAATCAAGAACAAAACACAATAACTGAAACCTTTCGGAAACTAAAAAGGTCTCTACCAAACACCCCGACGTACCTTCCGCTGTAGGTTCTTACATCGATGAGGAAGCTCCGGCAGTTGCTTTTGACGAGTCCATTCTTCACCACCACCGTAGGAATCCAAGTACGGTAAGCAGACAGGAATGTGGAACTGCGTTGAATAGCCGGAGGGTAGGCAGACATAAGCGACGGGCCTACTCCTATTGCGGAGACAGGAGTCGCGCGCTCGAGCGAGAACATTCTGCCGCGAAACTTTTCCACCGACCGCTCAGTTGCAGTGTTTTGGCCGACTGCACTGTGGACATGAAAGTAGACTAACCTACCAATTTGTGCTCGAATGCTCAAGCAGATTGCTTTGAACAAAAATGAAGAAATCAGGTGCTAGGTTGGGCGAGTTTCGGACTTCAGGAGTTCATCTTGGCTAGGAAAAAAGGGAAGATTTACGAGCATGCCACTCAACTCTTATGTTCACATATATAGCACCTAAACTTCAGTTATTACATGTATCCCACCTTATCTATTCTTAAAAATGCGTTTCACTTTTTAAAAGTTTAAATAATTATGTTTTTATCTATGAACATTGAAAATGTGTTAGCACTGATTCTGAGGTGATCTAATGATTCGCAGGGTAGTAGGAAGGCGAGGGATGACAGAAGAACGTGAGATACAATTATTTGACCGAATGCAGTCGTCTGAGCTAAAGCCAGCAAGATCAAAGCCGACCGAGTCACGAAGAAGATAAAATGAAAACCAAATATTACGAAGTCCGAATCGTTTAGGCAGAAACAAGATAAATTGACATATGAGTCAACCACCACGAAGAAGCTGACTTAAGGGAAGACTCGATCTCTCAGCCTCTTGAATCATATCGGGGATGTTTGGAAGTCTCTCCATCTATTATCAAGGTTCTGAATCCATACTTGATCAGCTGACGGACAACACTGGCCAAGTCTAGCCGACCTAACCGGTCCTGCCGACCCTATGTCAATCAAGCTCAGTTGACCAAGTCAAATAGCATTAGAGTGATAGACTCATACATGTAAAACATCAAGAATATCATATGCAACTCCTTTTAATGCAAAGGCAAAAATATAACACCATCATATTATATCATCTCCCTATAAATAGAAGATCATCTTGTGAATAAACACACATAGATTATTGTTCATTGTTGTTCACTCCTCTATCTCGCTATCTGTCTTCATACTTATGTCCTATTCATTGGGTATGATTCATGGATAAATCAAGATTCAACATCATAAAATGTGTGGTGGGCATGGATCATGTCATAGACAAGAAGAAGAGCAGCCCACAGAGAAGAAATCCACAATAGAGAAACCAACAATATCGAGTGTACTAGAGAGTTTGTAAACCAGTATATCCATGAGTTGAAGGATAAACTATTGGATGTCATCCAAGAAGCATTGGCTTGGAGAAGAGAGCGGCACCACTGAAAGGAAGGGCTAGCACCCAACAACCAAAGAGTCCCTGAGGCAATGAAAGAGAAAGAGACTCTCAGTGCTTTGATAATGTTGGATCAACACAAATTGATCAACATCAGATTAGGCCTTCTAAGGCGCCACGACAAACCAAGTGCATTTTCTTGAAAATTCACCGAGTCTGAGTCTTCGAAACATTTCAAGATGCCAGCAATAGATTTTTACAAAGATCAAAATGATTCAGCCGACCACATAAATCAGTCGTATGCCTACCAAGGATCATCGATGTGTTGTGTTATAGTTCCTACTTTTATATTGCATTGTCAAGTTCATAAAAACTATTTAAGTAAAAAATTTACTAATTGCACATACGATTCCAGATCCAACCAACACTTAGGAGAACTCGATAAATTTGCATAATGAATCATCAAAATTTGTAATACTCGAAGAATTTAAACCAACCCAAGTGACAAAACTGATAGTGACAGATAACGATGAATCTTTAAAAATTGTCTAAAAATAAATGACTAGGATCAACAAACATCCAATTAGTAAATCAAACAAGAGCTGACCCACATTGCTTGAGCAACAATAAAACCAATGTATCTTAGCTTGAAGTGGGTCAAGCTCTGGTAGTAATTCCCTATTAATACAATTACTGAACATAACATAAGCATGAGGCTGCATAAATGCTAGCCAAAATAAGTTTAAGATAAAGTAGTGAATACCATTATTTATCTGTTAAATGTGGTCCATCAATACCTTTTTAAGAAAGCTTACTTGAAGAAACCTGAAGTGACAAGCAAGTAAATCTATCCCATTTAAAAGTATTTCGGTGCTCTCCATATGTACATATTGATGTAGGGTCCAGGAGTAAGCTTGACTCAAAATCTCTCAAATACACCTTCATTTGATGTGACTCAGACGAGTTTGGGTACAAGTTATGAGATTATTAAATAAAAAGTTCATCATGATCAGAGATGTTACATTCAATGAAATCGAGATGTGCGAGGATAGAGTAACAACTCTAGATAGCCCTTCAGTTACTTCTAAAGAGTTCAAGTATGTTGAGATAAAAGACACCAATGATCATAATGTGGATAAATAAGAATGCTCAACTAGATGGAGCACAGAAAGTTCCCCAGTCAGTTACTACTATCAATCACCTATTACTGAAGTCAGAAGGACATTATATGGATTTTCTCCTTTATTATACTATTTGTTGTAAATTAATAGCGGTGAACTTAAGTCCTTTGAAGATACTAATTAAGTTGAATATTCAAAGGAGTTGGGACTTTTCATGGATGAAGAAATATAGTTTTTAGAGTCAAATCAGACTTAAGATTTGACAATATTACTATATGCTAAAAGGGCACTACACAATAAGTGGATCTATAGGTTGAAAGAGGAGTTAGATGATAGCAGGAGCTACAAGTTGAGATTTGATATGAATGGTTTTCATTAGAAGACAGGAGTGGACAACACAAAGATCTTTTCCCCGAATATGAAGATGACAGCCATTAGGGTTGTGCTGAGTCTGGTAGTAGAGGAAGTAAATTTGAAGCAGATAGATGTAAAAATAACTTTCTAACATGAAGAACTAGAAGAGAAATTATGCATGGTGCAACCGTAGGGTTGCAAGGTTCCAGAAAAAGAAGTATTGTTCTATAGGTTGAAGAAGAGTTTCTATGGCTTGAAGCAGGCTTCGAGATAGTGATGCATGAGGTTTGAAAGGTTCCTGTTAGGCAATGGGTACATAAAGTGCCAGTAGACCACTCTTTCTTCATCAAATACTTCAGTATATATTCTATCTTGCTTCTTTTGTATATGGATGACATGCTGATTGTAGGGGCATAAATGAAAAATGTTAGAGACTTATAGATGCAATTTTCAAGTGAGTTTGAGGTAAAGGATTTAGGTTCAAGAAGAAAAATCCTCAAGAAGAGAATTAGTAAGGATAGGAGTGCAAGAACATTAAAGCTTTCTCAGATAATATATTTATAAGATCCTACAAAGTTTCAACATGAGCGAGAAACCCAGTTTGCACTAAGTTAAGTAGTCACTTCAAGCTATCTAATAAGATAACTCCTAAATTCGAACCGGAGCAAGCACGGATGGGGAGAACAATGTATGCTTTAATAATTGAAAGTTTGATGTATGATATGATCTATATCACATCAAATACTGCATTTGTAGTGGGAGTGGTTAGTAGATACATGTGCAATCTAGGTAGATATCATTGGAAGGCAGTGAAGTGGATTCTTAGGTATTTGAGATGAACAATCAATAGAACACTTTTCTATGAAAGTGCAGGGAACAATCTACAGGGAATTATAGATACATATATGGTAGTAAATTTGGATGTTAGAAGTATAACAAGGTATATCTTCACTTCGGGAACAAAAGAGTGAGTTGGGTTTCTAGGTTGTAGAAGATTTTTGCACTTTCAACTATGGAGGTCGAATACACTGCTATTGCTTAGGCTAACAGTTATATTATTTGGCTACAAAGCTATATGGTAGAATTAAGAAAGGAGAAGTGGATTGAAAAGTCTTATAGTGATAGTATGAGTGCAATTCATCTTGTTAATAAAATTGTTTTTCATGTCAGGACAAATTACATTCAGTCGTGGTATCACTTTATATGCTTCTCCTAGAACAATGCTAGTTGTTCTTGGAAAAGATACACACCGCTCAAAATTTTGTGGACATATTGATGAAGGTAGAAACTATAAAAAAATTAAAACTATGCTTGGCTTTAGTTGGAGTCCATGAAGGTTGAGACTGAGAGTAGGCCAAAACATGATATGTGACTGTGAATATGGTACATATGGAGGTGCAAATTTGGTGGCAAGTCTTGGGTGGTTTTACTCTCCAAGTGAGAGATTATCACATTGTGGATTCTGAGGCACCCACCCACGATAACAAGCAACTCACAACACATGTGGCGTGACTCACCCGTGCCTATAGATAGAAGAGTCACGCTCGCACCCGTTCCAGGGTCTGTGGCACCCTCATGCCGCTTTCGATCACGCCTACACCTGGTTATGGAGCAGATGACATTCGCAAGCCGAGGAGTGGTGGGGGCAAGCTAGGGGCAGTTCCATCAGTTCGATTTCCTTAAATTTGAAATTTTGAGCGATGAAGGCAATCTCTATGTCTGTTTCTTTGATAAGGTTTTGGTAAATGAAGAAGGGTCTACAAGGAGGATTTCAGCTCGTGTTTCTCTTGTGGGACCAAGAGCAAGGATTTGGAGTGAAGTCTTGTAAGTTTAATTGCTTGTAGAGAGGAGATCCTGAGTAAGTTATTTGTACTTTTCTAAATTTTATAGTGAAAAATTTTGACGATGTGGCTTCGCAGTCCTTTATTCTTTTCGATTTTTTCATGTTAAATCATGGTGTAGTTTTTCCTAGAATTATGTTGTTTTGATTCAGTTTAATTTTTCGTTCATTTTCCCGAATCATTGCAATATATTCCATGGTATGGTTTTGATTCTAAGTAGATCGAACCCTTAATAAAACTATAAGAGAGATTTCCATCAGTAAACCACAACAAAGAATCCATAGGAAATGTATCTCACATTTGAAATCTCATTCACAAAAAATCAAAAATCAAAATTTCAAACATCTAATTAATTTAAATAAAATTAGGGTTTTTTAGACTAGTGCCGTTGATTTTAACTTTATTTACTTATTATCCCTATAAAACAGTTTCAGACTCAAATTTATGCGACTTATACGAAATATACAATTCCAAGAGCCGATGCTAGATTGGGTGAGTGAACAAAATTATTTTTCAATTATCATACAATTTAAACTAACGCTTAAACATGAAGAATCTGAACAACACATCGTAATTCTTGGGCATCTAATCCTCTCCAACTAATTATGAGTTGCACTCAAACCAATCAAACCAAGCTTCACACATATTT